CATATCTCTGGGTCCATTTTAGTTGCGCCTAATATTTTCATACTCTTCCGGTTCTTAATATAAAATCTATTTAACTAATTTTATTATATTAAAAAAATTAGATAAGTTAGTTAATTATAAAAAATATGATATTTTTCTTAAAATATTATAATCATCTTTTTTAATATCTTCTTTCTCCTTTTTGATTGTGATTGAGAGAATATTTATAAAGATAATTTAAAAAAAATTGATAAATATAAAAAATATGTCTTATATTTAAAAGTAAAATTAACTTAAAAGTCAGATTCTATATTAAGGATAGAAGGAGTATTATTTTTGAAAAAAAATATTTCCAAATTTACTCGGCAAGATATTAAAAAGAAAATACAATGAAAAATTAACACACGCGCACAGGAGTCAGAGAAAAAGGTAATCTTACAACCAGGTGTATTAATTAATCGTACCCTGAGGCATTTACTTTTCTTTACGGATTTGAACGTGATTTTGAAGAAAGCTGGTCATAATGTTCGATAATTCTGATGGAGCTCTGAGCTCTTAGTACACCCCAGTAAATATGGAAATAAACGTATTGTAAAATTAATCTCATTTTAGTCATCCCCAGACATGATATGCTTAAGATGGCAGTTAAAGGTGTTCGATGAAGTTGTTGTTTAGTGTTTAGCAATCACATAGAGTTTAACCCTTTGTTTCCCCACGCCAACGAACCCATTGTGTTCCGCGCGCCATCGAACTGACACTCCAAGGATCAGAGAGGGAGCTTCTTCCATTGCATGACTGTTTGTCAGCTCTTGTTATTCTCAAATCTTTGTCTGTTTAACAGAAAAGATTCTTTTATCTTCTTTTTTTCCCACAATCTAATTATCTTGAGTGATTCAATTACCCAACAAATCAATTTTTATAGTTAAACAGTACTCCGTTTTTAAATAAAAAAACTTATTTTTTAATATAAAATTATACTATAAAATGGGTCTTCAAACCGGAGGAGTATTTTTTTTTTTAACCAGCCTGACAGCTAATGTATATTCATATTCATATGCGAAAATAAACAACTTCAGATGAACTCGATCTGGTTTTTTTTTTTTTTGGTTGTTGTTGATTTTATTGCCTAAATTATATATTTACTCTATTTTTAAAGACTAACTCGTATAATGTATAAATTAAAAGATTAAGAGTTTACATGTATTCAATGTGTGTGTGTGTATATGAGAAATTGATTTACTGAACAACCAAGGCATATATAATTAATAGCGGACGGTGTTACGATATGAGAAAGAAAGGGGACAGTGTCAAGGGCTTCAGAGACACCATTCATTTATCGTTTTGATGTTTTCTGTAACTAAAGAAAAGACGAAGGCTCTGTTTGGGTACTCTAAAACCGTGGTTTCAGAAGCACTTTTTCGCAAAATGAGATAACCTTCTCCACATATTTACTTCGTAATCCGTAAAAGCACTTCTGAAACCATGGTTTGATTTTTATCCAAACACTAACGAAGCCAACTTTCCATTCAAAAAAAAGACGAAGCCAACTCACAGCCTCACACTCATCTCTCTCTCTCTATAAATATATATATATAGATATATAGATATATGGGGTTCAGACAAGACCCACTTGGTGAGCAGTGCCACTCATGGATCCCCATTAACATATCGACTCTCTTTGATTTGACGTTTCAGATTCTGCACTTTTGAGTTTTTAACTTCTTCTCATGCCATCGAACAAGAAGCCCCGTCTACTATAATATGTTTATTTTTTCCTTAATCCTTGCAATTCGAAGGGGGAATTCCTGCCAAGTCTAAAAAATTTAATTACTTAAAAAGACTTAATAATAATGGAGCAGACTGTAATAATAAATTTCAAAATAATAAAAAATATACTCGCTTGTCATTAAAATTTATTAATACTTACTTTTTTATGTGAAATTTTATTGTAATTCTTCCTAATTCAAGTCAATTCATTTTTACTATTCAAAATATATTACATCTTATATAATATATAAAAATACATCTATCTTGTAAAATAAATTAATTAATCACTATCATGTTTCATCGTGTATAGTGCATGGGGAGGAAAATAAAAAAAATCAAAGCAATATTGAGGGTGAACAATAATTGAATATGATTTTTGTATAGTATAACTAGCTGTTATAAGTTTTAAATATTGCAGGGATCACACCATAGAAATATTTAATAAATAATATCATTTGTTAAAAAGGCTAATATTATATATAAATAAGGAGAATCTTAAAAGAATATCTTTAAATTTCAAATTTTCAATTCAGTTTTATTTACTACACAATTGATAATATTTAAAAAATAAATAACAACACAGTTTTATAATTATTTTTCATTTAAGATTTTGAAATTTTAAAAATATTTTGTTGACTTTTTTCATATAAATAGGGTATATGTATCCTAGCTATTGGAACAATCTTCAATTCGCTGGGTGGGAGCTCACGCATGCCACCACTATTTCTGATGGGACTGTGTATTTCCCAATTAAAAAACGTGCTTATTATAATATAGGCAAAATAGTATCTTGGATTCTCTACTTCTACACAAGCTTATGATGTTTTATTTTTCACAAAGTATATTTTTGGTAATCTAATATTATTAGTTTCAGATGAGCTTATCATTAAGCTAAAATGATACTCCTCTGATCCTTAATATAGGACCTAATTCTTGAGTTAGTTTTGGTCCCAAATATAAGACCCATTTCTCATATTTATAAATTTTTTCTAAATTACCCTATAGATACTCCCTCAACCATAATCAAGTAGAAGAGGGAGAGGAGTATTAAGAAAGATGATTATGGTGTTTTAGGAAAAATGTGTCACTTTTATTAGAATTAACCAACTTACCTAACTTTCTTAATCTAATCAAATTAGTTAAATAAGTCTTATATTAAGGACCGGAGGAGTATTTTTTATCATTCAAATTTATTTTTAAAAATTTAATGTATATGCTAATATTTTTTAATGTTGTGTTTTCATAAAATTAAGATACAAAATAAACCTGGCATAAATTTTATTATATTATCATTTTTTGGGGTACGCTTGTCTGAATCAAAGGCAGATCATTGAGTTTTGACCATAATAGGCGGAACCACTGTGTCAACCATTACACGTCATGTCAGCATTGCTGTAGCAGCATGTTGTAATAGTAGTTCACTGTTCCTAATACACTTTAAATTTTATGATTTAGAAAATATCTTTTTTGATTCATTAATGTTAATGTGAACATATGATTTAAGCTGTGCGGGTGGATTATCAAATTAAGTATGCATTAGCATTCTGCTGATGACGACAACATAATAATGCCATCGAGGCCGTAATTTGTCAACCCATTATTATGGGATGAATACTAGATTGATGGGTGTCTGTCAATTGTCTCTTTTTCTGACCTTATTTAATATGAGGAGGACATTAATATATTTATTGAGCAATCAATTTCTGCAATAGCTTCATCATTAATTGCATTCTGTGAACTAACAAGCTATGGAGGTGTTTGGAGGACTGAAAAAAGTGTTTTTACGGAAATTAAAATAAAAACTTCTCTTATATATTGATTTTATATATCATAAAATTACTTTAAAAATTATAATTTAATTTCCACTCAAATATTTCATAAATAACTCTTCAAAATATATATGACCTCATCTTACTCCGATAACACTAAATTAAATAACTGCTCTTTTTATTCTTGATGTAAAAACTATTTAACTAATTTATAAAAACTAAAAAAGTTAAATAAATTATTTAATTCTCATAAATGTGACATGATCTTATTGAAATACTTTTATGAAACATTAGATTAGTTTTTAAAAAATGATAAATATGTAAGAGATAAAATTGATTAGAGGCCTATATTGATAACTAACATAAATTTTTCAACTAGGTTTTATATCTAGAATATAATACATGCCAGGGCAAGAGAATAGACACTCAGGCGTCATCCAATGAGCTTGTAACACAGAGAGGAATATTGGGAATAATAACACTACCCAATTATTTCCAACCAGTTAAGTGGAACTATTCCATTATTCAGATATAGATGGTTTAACTGGCATAAAATTAACGCCCTGTTATAAATGGGTCTTTCTGTGGTTGTTCCTGTTGCTATAATTGTTTCTGGAATCTTTTCATGTGACGGAAATGATCTGTCTTTCACTAATGACACGATGCAGGTAACAGTAAATTAAATGACACAGATACCGCAGCACTGGCTAGTTAAAGGAAATACATACACTGCGATATGTTTCGTTGCACTTTTTTCGCCTTTCTTTGTTTCTTTCCCTTGCTGCGTAGCTGCTTTGCTTTTATCGAACTGTGACCTGGTTTTTTGACTTTAACAAGTCTTGATTAGGAAAATTAGGGTTTTCTCAACTTTTATCTCATTCTTCTCGCAATAATTTTCTTGGAAGAATAAAAGAAACTGTAACTGTGTCAGGTCTAGACATGCATGCAAAACCTGCATTACATGTTGTTCCTTTAATAGGTGGCTGTACTGTATAACTGAACAAAGCGGTCCAGCAAGAAAAATAGAAAAAATCAATTATAGAACAAAAGAAAACCAGCCAAAAAAAAAAAGTCTCCCACACACACATCGCAGGCCAGCTCGTACCATTATTTATTTTCTCCTTTTCCTTCTGTCTACAATATATATATATATATATTTATATTCTGGGATTGTAGAACCACTGTCCAGATAAACCCAGGCCAGAGCACAAGAGACCAAGGCAAGGTGGAAGAGTAGCAGAGATAAAAAGTAGAAACATCTCTCGTGCAATATGGAGGGGTTAAAAATCACTGTCCCTCTGCAGGTTGAAGCACCGTGAAAGACTCAAATGGTGACTATACCAGCAATGAAAAGCACTATTCATGTGGTCCTATCTATATATGGAGAGTGGGACTGATACGTTACCCCCCATCCCTTATTTTTTGCAATTATTATGGAAAGAATAAAGAGAACAGGAAAGAAAAATTAAAAACAGCTGCCAGCAATGATAAGAATACTTTGAAAGCTTCTTAAATTATGACCGAAATGGCTCATCATCAGAACCAACGTATTGTTTACTTAACTGCTTCAACAGTTATGATAAATGCAATCATAGAAACGGCAATCATATTCATTTCACAATAACAACTAATAGAAAAAGGGCAATACATGATTAACTAGCTAATATACTGTTATAATTATTATAGTTAACATGTGAGGCTCAGGTTTTCAGAAGTGTCTCTCCCCCATATCCAGTTGTGTATGGGTGAGACATTTGATCAACCTCACTTTTTTCTTTGACACGATTTAGGTCAATCATAGAGGAAACTGGCAGAGACTCAGCCTTCTATTTATATCTCAGCACAATCCATTAGACTTTTCAGTTCCCTCCCCCTGGTCCAATTTGGCTTTGCTTGTTTCCATCCACCTTTAGTCCAAAGTGAATGTGAGGGAAATGTGCCCACTGCACCCAGAAACGACACACATATTACGGGGTAATAAAATCCAGACAATCAACCAGCATATGTAAGAAACATAGGATTAAAGTTATTTGTTATAATGAACTGATTATTCACACAGCACCAGTTGAAAATAAATGTATATATCTCACTTTAAATTGACAAGTGAATCTTGAAATGTGTGTGTGTGGGTTTGTTTTGTATAATGGGTGCACCAACTTATTATCATGGTGAAGAGGACGTTATACAGTAAAGGAACTATATATATATATAGTACTTCCCGTGTCTTCCTTTTCCTTTTTCCTTTCTTACTGGTATGCTAGCTTGCTAAGCAAAGTATATGATGGGACGTCACTAAACTGGAAGATTCTAAAAAAGATGCATTTATGTGTAAAATTTAAATATTCTCTGCATATATGAACATGGGAGATTGGGGACTATCACCATCAATGATAAGGGCACAGACCCGATGTATGCAGCTAGCGAAGAATGCCTGAGAGACTATTAATTATAAGGTGATGCACATGCAGGTGGAGAAAACACAACATAAAGTTTTCACATATATAATCTTACGTGCAGCGTATTGATGCCCTTAGTCGCAGAAAAGAGTTAGAGCCTGCTTATATATATGTACTATAGAGATATAAAACAATAGTATAATACATCAATATAATGACTCGTTAAACAATGTCAGGGATGTAAGGTTTCATGATAACTATATATGCAGCAGTCAACAATATGTGTAATAAGTATATATTTTTATGGTAGAGGTCGTTTTCTGCTGTAATACTACACAAAAGTGAAGAAACTTTGGCTAACTTGTGACCCTTGTTCTATTAACTTAGGTGAAGAATATTATTTTGTTGTGCACAGTGCACCAAAACCCTACATAATATATACTGTACATGAGAAATATTATGTTTTTTCCCCCTTAATTAATACTTCCTAGAACCAGTTAAGGAATTATATTACGTAAATATATGAATCTTCTGATGAGGCCTACCGCCCCTTGTGATAGTACGATTTAATATCCCTCTCTTGAACCAAGGAAACAACATACAACACACACATGCGGGCACTTTCTCTCCTTAACTATGAGGGAAAAACTTACTTAGCATCGCATATATATGACGTATTCATTGAAAGAAGACTCGCTAATAATATACACAGGACTTTGTCTAGCTACGGTTCTCGATAAATTAATACATTAATCTCAGGTTGAGCGCCAGGCACTCCCTTTGATCCTATATTCAAATCTTGTTGGAAGCAGCGGATTCTTTTTAGTATATATGATTTGTCTCCACTGGAGAATACATAAGGTGAAATATATCGTAGTACTTTTATGTTTGATCCATTAATACAGACAAAATTAACATTTGAAATTTGTTACTATGTACGACTTTGGATTATGACAAACACATGAACCTGGAGGTGGTGGTTTTATTACTGCGTCTTTTGTCCAGAGTTTTAAGATGACTTTGATTTAATTAATACTACTTATTTAATTTAACACTTCTGTTTTTGGCCAACCTCAAATAATGATGTTGTTTTCCTTTTTGTTATATTCCTATATCTAGTTCATCTATATGAGAATGCTCATGAAGATGTATATGCTAAAAATTAAAACAAATGCAATTTTGTTCTTAACAAATAAAAATAAACTTACATTTTTTGCTGCTGTGCTAAAAGCCTCCCTGTGGCTGATATCAGGATTACTAGCCTTAATCCTTTGGATTTCCTCCCTGCAAAACCATAATAAGAAAATTACAACTTGTTCCTTTGTTTTTTCCCCCCTCTTTCGACTGGCATCAGATACAAGATGAAGATATAGCAGTATATGTGAAGTTAACTCAAATAAAAATTTTTTTAAAAAATAATTACTTACTTAATGAACCGATTATAAGCAGAAGGAACACGTTGTCTCTTCTCAGGAGCTGCAATATTGAATTATTGATCATAACTAGAGCATGAAATTTAGAAGGTAATGAAGCACAAAATACCAAGTTAGTAGTATATATGTCTACATATATAGATATATATAGTACACATTAAATAACTCAGCATAGATACTTTTTTCCTTTACATCAAATGGGATTCATTTTGAACTAATGTTTTGACAAGCGCAGGCCCCATAAATAGATCACTGCACTGGCCGTGGCATGATCATTTACGTCTCATCTGTTTACCTGAGAGTCCTTTATGTGCCCTACCATTAGTCGCTTCTCTTTATTTTTGCTGTTATATATATTTTTCCTCAAATTGTCGCGATTTTACTTTTAAAAAAAATTCACATTCCGTCCCACTGAGAGAAACTCATGATATGTTGTACAATTATCTATCATTTTCAGTTTACCTCAGCAAGCTTTTACGGTAAGTGGAATCTGTAACTGTATAAATTGATTTTACATATATATGAGATACGTTCTAGGGCACAGTAATCAATTACAGATGGGTCAATTTGTTTTTTTATGTACGATCACCATCTAGGGGGGGCCATAGCCATATACAGATCTGGATACCCTTTGTACCAAAACAGAAATTGGATAATACTCAGACATTGATTCTCCACTCTTGTGAAAACTAGTTTAATGACAAGTGGGCTCAACTTGGGTTGTTCTGCACAGTTGCTTATTAACATATGCCAGTTTGTGAAATGGGTCTTAATTAGTGTCTTTGTCCTTGAAGCTCCTGGGTGTATGGTTATGCACCATTCGATGCAAAAGCAACGCGTGATACAAAAAACAAAACTTCAAAGGAAATAGAGAATGGCCCTAGTGAGCACCGCCTCAGTTATGGACCACAAATAATCACACAAGGTTGTTAAGCAAGACTAAATAGGGGCTCCATTGTGTAGTAAACAATTGTCTATGTTAATTTGTTGTTAATTCATTCAGCTAGAACTGTGGTCTATAGATGACATGGTAGACAACACAGCCTACTTCAAAAAAATTAAAAAGAGAAAAAATTACAGAAGAGAGTGACTCACGGCGAATGGGAGGAATCCTAAGTTGCTCATGCTCTACCGATTCAAACGGGGCTAACTTGCTGCATTTTGAGGATGATCCCGGATCTTTGTTACTTGGTTCCTCAAAAGTCAGATGCTGTTTCTGTGACTTGTAGCAACAGAATAGAAAAGTTAATGAAAACACACCACTCTCACACAAGCACAAACTAACTTATATATATAGATGTTCTTCTTCCCTCTTCTTTTCAATAAAAAGGAATGCAAATCGATTGCACAGAAACACTGAAAAAAGAAGTAACATCCAGCTATCCATTACGCCATAAAAAGGGAGCCCAAAAGAGTCTGAAAAACCTGAGGGTGACTCTGGTGAGGAGGAAACGCTTGAAGTGAAGCACCCACGTTAACTGAGAGCAAATTGGCACAATGCCCGCATCTAACCGTCACTATGGTCAGTAAGCTGTTGCATGGAACACTAACCTGCCAATACCCATTTTGGAATACAAAACAAATCATCACTCGCAGTAATACTAGAAAACCACAACGATTCTCTCTCTCTCTCTCTCTCTCTCTCTCTCTCTCTCTATAAGACACAGACACGAGATTTTCTCAGACGATAGAGATGTAAGACTAACACAGTTAAGCAGTGGGAAGGAACCAATATATAGCAACTAAAGTGGATGTGTCTCATCCCATCAGGTTCTATATCCGGTTTATTGATGAGTTTTTATTCATTGGCTTCTTACATTATTATTTGACAATCCAGAGTGTACCTAAGAATTATACTATCTACACATACAACAACACAAGCGCTCAAAACTCTATAAAATCATGCACGTGTAACCTCAAATTTTGGGATTTCTAACAAACCCTTCTTCAAATTCCCCATATATCATTTTCTGAATCATTACTATAGCCACAGATCAGCGAATTTGAAAATATAGTTGCAGGGAAGCTTCCACATTTCCAAGAAAGGGGCTTGCAAGAACTAGTAAAGTGATAAGATGAAAACAGAAGGAAAAACAAGAAACGAAGTTCGGAAGAGAAACCGACGAAAGAAGTAGTAGATGATGATAAAGAAGCTTTCTTTTTCATGATTCTGAGAGGTCATGTTGCTTTTATGGGCTAAGAGAGTGAGCACTTCAATACATCGCTCGGCCAGCAATAACATCAGGACCTGACATGAGTAATAACTAAGAGGGCTAGAGCTTATCTAACTTTGAAATTTTAAAAAGTTAGCACTCTCACGATGCGTAGTCTATGACTTTTTGAATTATCTGACACTGCAAGGCAAGATGATAAAAGAAAGAAACAGTAGGGGTGAAAAGGACTTGACACGAACGGAAACCATAATTAAAGGCCAAGAACTGAATACCATTAGCCCGCTCACCTATATTCGAATTAAGACACGTACATATGGAGAGAACCCAAGAAAAAAGAAAACAAGAGGGAAGCATCATCATTGATGTAGATTAAATATTTCACTGCTCTTTTTTGCTACGGAGAGAGGGAAATAAAGATGGGATCCCAGCGAGTGCTTTCTCAAAAGGAGTAATATCACAGAGATGTTATGATAAAGAGAGAGAGGGATCGGTAAAAATTTTTAAAATGGCTAGCTTAACTCCTGAGATTTTGTGTAGATAGAAAGAGAAACACGGCTTTGAGTACCTTAAGGAAGCAGAAGGGTATAGGATCGTAAACACAGAAGCTTTACTTGCTAAACCATGACGAACTGAAATACCAACCTTCCTTCTCATCACTGAAACGGAAGGCATTTGAGGAGAGAGAAAACCATACTGCGAGCCATCACATGGACTCCCTATACGGATTCTTTGTAACCACAAAGGACAGAAAAAAACAAAGAAGATGTTGAAAAACTTAAACAGCAGTAAACTTTCTTTATACTTTATATATATATATATATTTGTATATTCGTTCATCCTGCTGCAAAGAAGAAAAGTGGGAGGAAAGCTTTACAATAAACGGAAGAACCCTAATCCCTTTAGTAGCCCTAGTCATAAGGGCTCGCAGAATAATACTTTGTGCTGTCTATAAAATTTAGGACATACGTGACTCGTAGCTTCTTTTAGTGAAAGATCGAAAAGTGTTTTTAGGTTTTGATTTTGCATTTCTTACCTTACACCGTATGTATGTAGTTGGGATTAGCGGAGCAAAAGCCAGTTGCACTTTCTCATTAAAGATAAGATACGATTCAAAGTTCTCGGTCTGAATTACATGGGTAGTAGTAAATTAAAGAAAATCACTTCTAATTAATGGATTCCAACTCTTATATGGGGAAAGTTACCCAGAAGAACACAGACTTGGCTTTTCTACGAATCGGGGTAACAGGTATGCATTTCGACATATAGTTCAATTATCATTCTCTCATGTACATTCATAATTGAACAGAATTTGTCTTTCATGGCTACCCAGAACAGCTCGTTCCTTTACAAATCTTAGCTGGATGCCGTAATAGAACTGATGAAGGACGAAGCGGCATCATGAAAAGCTAATCAGAAGAACATGCAATTGAATTAAAACACAAAAATGGTGTGTGTGTGTGTGTGAGGGGGGGGAGAGAGAGAGAGAGAGAACAAAATATAATTGATGAGAAGGCTGTACCGCTAGAATGGTGTTGCAGAAGTTGCAGTGAACATAACAAACACGTTCGGCTGCCATCATTTCCATTGACATTTTTTCTCTTGTTTTTTATTTGGGACTGAATAATCTCTGGGCTTCTCTAAGAGTAGAACTAGATTTATAAGCAGATCACAGTGTGAGAATTCCTCAACTGAAAGAAGAAAAAGCCGAACAGGATCAAGAAGAAAAACAACAAAAGATCAACAGTTCAGAGAAAAAGATAGAAGAAATTAAAGAAGTTCCCCGAGAGAGAAAGAGAGAGAGATGAGTACAAAAATCTGAAGGAAGAGGATGGGATGGGACTAGTGAAGGGTGATGTGAAGCGGGAGTGATGTGAAGTGGGGTTGGGGCTAGTGGCTTGAGATTGATGAAGAAAAGATGGATTATGGGAAAGTTGAAAACTTGTGTGTGGATTGGATATCTGAGAAATAATAATGTGAAAGTGTAATTTGTGCGCGTGTGGGTGAGAGACAGAGAGGCAGAGAGTGGGGGAAGCAAGGGGGTGTGGATGGTGATGAATGATGCGTTATGATTGAGAAAATGAGTGGGTGGGAGTGACCCATCTCTCTTACCATACTGGCAGCTCTCTGTAGCGGACGAGGGGGGCGAGATATTAATGCTTGGAATGTTATAGGGATTAGAGAATTCAAAAGACACAGAACATAACTTGATTCTCTTCTTATTATAGGGATCCGAGTCAATAATCCTTTGAATTTGTGCCATTCATTTCTTTGCTTGTCACAGTCAGCCTAAGATTCCATCCTACTTATCTAAATCAGCATCTAATCATTTTTCTAACTACCTATCAGTTAATGATTTGTTACTTTTACTGATGAATCTAGTTAAGTACGTAGATTTTGAAATATGGGTATATCAGTAGAACGAGGATAATTAACTGGGGACCAACTTGGAGTCTGATGTTTTGCGTGACAGTTGGGGGGGCGAAATGGTTTTTCTAGGTTGTAGTTTTCCTTCAGTCACTTTACTTCTTCTTCCCAAAGATTTGAACTTTATTATTATTATTTTTCTATTGAGTCTACGCCTTCACAAGAGAATCTTGTTTCAAATCAAAAAATGATCTCAGGTGATGGGGAAGTGCTAAATAAACAAAATCAAGCTGTCTTAATCAGGTTATTCTGAAGCTTCTTTTGGGTTAATTGCATGATAAGTCAACAAAGCGCAGCGATGAGATTACTGGGGTACGTACTAATCATGACGTTGAAAAGACTGCGAAAATAGCATGTAATTTGAAATTATAATCAGCTTAATCTTGTCCAGTTTTCCGTATTTGGGTGATCTCTTTGTTGTGTCGTATTTGCCCAGGTGATCACTGATTAGACATTTTCCTGTGCGGTATTCACGTATTTCCCAGAAAGACGTCTAGGTCGGATTTCTCTCTTACTTTTAATTTGGTAGGATTAACATTTTCCCTTCTAATTTCTTTCCTTTCCTTTCCTTTTTTATTTTATATTAAAATGTCTTTATTATATAGATAGTAAAACTCTACGTGAGCACTTCAAAAACGATCTTGCATTCCGAGGATAACATATACCTCTTTAATTTTTTAGGTATATAAAAATAACATGCACATATTGTTAACACATATGCAAACGTTATTTATGGATAAATTTGATTAAATTTTTGGTATTCTAAATTAAGAGCCAGTTGTTCTACTTTTTATTATTAGTCATTGATCATTGAATTAATTAATTAATTAAGGTAGTGAAAGTTAATTAGGTGCATAATTTAACAGTTTAACTAAAACGGGATATTTGAACATATGGATTTCACCTAAATTGTCGATTATTCTAAAATAAGCACCCCGCCTGACTTTATCCAGTCCGATGATTAATCAAAGAGGAATTCAATTAACTCTCGCTTCTTGAAATGGGAATGCTTTCTTGGTATACATTATCATTAAACATAGAGATTGATAACATATCATCTCTAAAAAGAAAATAAATGGCTAGCTAATTGAGACTTATAAATTAATCCAAATAAAATGATTACATCTAGTGGGAAAAAACAAAAATATCTTATTCTTCTTTTTTGTGTGTAAACTCACAGTTTTTCCGAATCACTTTGGATTTGAGACTAATTTCTATCAAGCTGAAAACATTAAAGTTGAAACTTTTTCAACAAGTACATTTCCCAGGATTTCTTGACTCAATTAAAACTACTCTCTAAACATTGATCCAATGCAATTCTGACATTACAATTTTAATTTGATTAAAACTAAGTCCCTAAACCTTAACTCAATACAACTTAGTATTCATAGTATTAACATTTTAAAGAATTGTCCCTAACGTTCACAAAACAAATCTTGATAGTTTTATTTTTTAAAGTATAGAGGGACTAACATTTTAAATAGTTAAAATCATAAAGACTAAGTTATATTGAGTTAAAATTTAACGATCAAGTTTTAATCAAGTAAAATTTATAGGGATATGAATTGTATCAAAACAAAGTTTAAGAATTGAATTTTAACCGAATCAAATAACACCAAATGATTAAATTTACCAAATACGAAATACGTAGATTGTTTCCAAAGAATGTCTTTATATATGAACATGTGACTTTATTCTTTATACCTCTCCATTATTATAATGAATAAGAATATGATTAAAGGTTACCATCATGCAGAGACGGGAAAAAAAATAGAATTTAATTTTTAAACTAATCACGATGAAATATTATGACAAAGATTATATATGAGGTTATTTGACTGGGGCACTACGAAACTTTTAACTGATCAGAGCTTTCCAGATGCAGATAATAACTAACCCAGCATCCATATGGTGTGATTTAACCATGCAAAAAAAGAAAAAGAAAATACAGTAACTCTCTCAGTCGATTAATTAAAAGTTCATAACACCCACCAACAAGTTGTTCAAAGTGGCATTATAGCCAAGTAAGAAGATAAATATAAGTTCAAATTTCAGAAAATGCACTTATCGAGAAAACCTTAATTTTAACCACTCTAAATTAGGAAAGAATTAGTTTTGAGTCCAGAGTGTGATTTGGAAATATTCCGGATTCACATCGGAAGAAAATAAGTTCTAACAATCATATATTGATTTTAAATATATCATTTATATATTTTTTCCTGCCGTCAACTTTAGGTTGGCCGAACTAAAATCAATTTTATGTATTTTGTCGGTTTGTGTGTGAGATCACAACTCAGAAATGGGAATAAATGGATAATTACGGTGGAGGCATCACTTGATAGAATGATTCTCGGAGACAAACAAAGACGGGAGAGACTTCTGGTTGATGATATGTTAGGCATCTTTCAATACGATAAGTCGTCGTCTGTTGGGTTAGACGTGTCGGAGACTTCTCTAACCCTAACCCTAGCCAAACGAATCATATCATATTTTTATTTTTTATTTTTTATTGTTATTATTCTTCATTCTCTCCTGCTTTTTTATCTCTTATATTTGCGTTTTTGAAGTACGTTTTTAGCATCTATTTCGTACCAGATACGCATAAGAGTTAGTCGACTAATTTGAGGAGATTAAGAAAAAAAGTTAAGTTAGTTATTTGTAACAAATAGGTGTTGTTTTTCCTAAAATATTCTTGCTAATCAAGTGTATTGGCTAGACTTATTATTATTAGAAGGACTTCCTTGAAAAAAAGTACATAAATTTGAGAGACAAAGTGGATTGGGGTTTTATATTTAGGATCAAAATAAAAGTCAAACAATGTTTTATATTGAGGACCGGAGGTAGTATATAGAATACATGATGTGATATCATGTGATGTATTTTAAATTTTTAGAATATGGGGGCATAGAATATCGTGTGTAAATCGTGTGTACACTCTCCCCACCTCTATCTAACACGCACAAAAAATAAAGTAATGCGTGAAAATGAAATTCACAAATTGAGTTCTTGGTCTCGAGTTCAGAACCTCCAAATTAAATCCTCATGTATTTACCATGAAGGCTAAATTTGTTGGTTCACAAAGTGAGTTCTGAAGGCATATATTTCAAACATAATACAAAGAAGTCGCCAATAAATTAAAAGGGCATGGCTAATGGTCATCAATCTGGTTTTGTTCTATCTACGTAGACGGTCATGCGGCTTTCTATTTTATTTTGTTCTCGTAAACATCCAGCTTACAATTTATTCACGACTATTAATTAATCTTATAACACATGCAAGATAATAACTTTAACTATATGATGTGTTATTTTTCAAATTTCGTACAATTTAATTGCCTCGACCTTTATACATTAATTTTACCAGTAGAGATATCGTGTCCATAATCTTTGCAAAGAACGAGGATAAGATCAGTCATTATTTAAGGGAAAAACCATTGTGTGGTATGAAGAAGAGAGAATATAATTATAAAAAACTCCTTTAACTATATACATACAGTGAATCACAAGTTTCAATATAAGATATGGCGACAAGTTGCATACTGTTCACTTGTCATTGAGTTTTTTTTTTTTTTGTAATCATATTAATTACTGTCGTCATCCACACTTGGCCACGGGGTATATGTCATGTGTGCATAGAAAGCTACTGAGAAGAAAATAATACGATGTTAAACTAAAAGCTAGTGAGATAATTGATTTTAGTTTTAAACATAAGATTTTAATCTATGTTATACTACTTCCAATCCTAATTATAAGAGCTAGTTGACTAATTTGAGGAGTTTGAGTAAAAAAGTTAAATTAGTTATTTTTAATAAATATGTGTTGTCTTTCCTGAAATATCCTTGCTAATTAAGTGTATTGGCTATAACTACCATTGTTAGAAGTATTATCTTGAAAAAAAGGTATAAATATGAGAGACAAAGTAGATTAGGGTCTTATATTTAGGATCAAAATAAAAGTCAAACATGGTCTTACATTGAGGACCGGAGGTAGTATGTCATAATCATTATTTTTTTCTAAACTAATTTATCTAACTTATAAATTGAATTTATTAGAATTGAGTTTCCACAAACACTCACAAAACCAGGTGGTTATATTATTTTCAACGCAATCATGATATGCACATAGACACAATCATGATTGGCCTGGAATCGAAATGCATACATATAACAATGTGGTTTCAATTCGACGAGGAGATAGAAACGTAAAGCTGGGTTGAACTATAAAAGAGAGAAGGCCATGTGAATTTAGAGCATATGGAAATTTGCTTTTGTATGGGCATGGACCACAGAGGATTGGATACCCAGTCTTTACTGTCCCACTCAAAGTTCATACTTACAAGATTGGCCCAAGAAAGTGAAAGAAACATATGGCTTGTCTCCCCCCACAACAAAACTGGGCTTTAACTCTAACAAACATGAGGACCACTTTCTTTACACCAGTGAAAGGGAAGCTAGTGCGGTCTTATTTTTCATTTTTTTTAAAATTTTTTAAATACAAGTGGAAAAGTAATAACCAATCACAAAGCCTAGGCTCAATTTACTGGATCCAAATGCCCAATCTGCATGAGTGTGGTCATTAGTATAAAAACTAGTTCAAATTAAAAAAATTAGTTAACTTAGTTATTTGTAATAAATAAGTGTTATCTTTTTTAAAATATCCTTACTAATTAAATATATTGACTAGAATTACTATTATTACGAGGACTACTTAGGAAAAAATAGATAAATACAAGATATAAAGTGGATTTGAGTCTTATATTTAGGATTAAAATAAAAGTCAAATGAACTCTTATATTAAAGACTAGAGGTGGTATTATGACCCTACGATTCTTAATATAAGAGCTAGTTGACTAATTTGAATAGATTAAAAAAATTAGTTTAGTAAGTTATTTGCAATAAATACGTCTTTCATAAAGTATCTTTATTAATCAAATATATTAACTAAAACTACTATTATTACAAAGGTTATCTTAAAAAAATAAATAAATATGAAGATAAAATGAATTAAAATTTTGTATTTAAGATTAAAATAAAAATTAAACGAAATCTTATATTATACTCCTCCGGTCCTTATTATAAGACCCAATTTGACTTTTTATTTGGTCCTAATTATAAGACCCAATCCATTTTCTCTCTTATATTTATGTATTTTTTTCCAAGATAATCCTTCTAATAATGATAGTTTTAGCCAATATACTTAATTAGCAAGGATATTTTAGGAATAACAACACTTATTTATTATAAATAACCAACTTAACTTAATTCCTTAATCTCCTCAAATAAGTCAATTGGGTCTTATAATTAGGACCGGAGGAGTAATTAATTTTTGTAATTTTTTTTTTTTAAATCTACCAGCCTACCGCATGGACATCTAGACACTTTTTGGTTCCGGCGCGAGAATTTATTGCATGTAACTTGTGCAATGAAGGGGCCTCATTCTCGTGGGCGGGGATTCCAGCAGTTGGACCCTGAACGAAAATAACGGTCTCTGCGTGGCCTAACAGAACCGGAAGTATTTCAACCTGGAAGTGAAAGTCCGAGGGCATCAATGTCCAATCATCCAATTCCAAGGACATAATTGGCACTTCAGCCTCTACCTACTGCTACTCTGCATCCATCCCAACCAAATGGCTCACCTGCCACTCTAGCGGTACAAAGTTATATGAGGTTGCATCGTATTCTTCTCCTACCCCTCTCGTTGAAAAGGAGTTCCCATTTTAAAATTTTCTGCATTGACTCTCTGGCCTAACATTTGGAAAACGTTGTCTCTCCTGTGCTTTGCATTGTCATTTTCGCCGGACCTGGACTCAAGCTTTCAGCTCTATGCGATGACGCTGGCTGGGGTTCTCGCCATTCTCTTTCTCCTCCTTGCTCTGTACTGTGGGTTAGACCCTTTTGGGCACAGCCCCATCGCTGGCTTCCCGGAGTTCGAAGCCTGGAAAGTCGATTTGCCGGCTTGGTCCGATGTTCCCACTGACGTTGACGCGGAAAACTTGTTGCAGAAGTCGGAGATTAAGTTTTTGAATGAAGTTCAGGGACCTGAGAGCATTGTCTTTGACCCTCTTGGTCGTGGGCCGTACACGGGCGTCGCTGATGGGAGAATCTTGTTCTGGAATGGGCACTCTTGGACTGATTTTGCTTATACGTCGTCCAACAGGTCTGAATTTTTCTCCCTCTCTTCTATCTCGATAGCTAAATTTTGAGTCCTTGGAAATGGAATTTAAAACTATTATGTCTCTATTTAAAACCAGAATTTTTATTCTTTTATTCTTGTTTTTTCTAAATGACTGTATGATTCCTCTGTTGAGTCATTATTTTGTAATTAGCTCTGAAATGGTTCTCTTCCATTATTTACAACTGTTTTCGTTTCTTTTTAATTTTGGGTTTGATGACAGCGGCATGGTCTTTCTGTTCATGGTCCTTTTGCGTGCTTATTAGAATTCAAACGCTAGACAACTGAATTCATTAATAATGTTTGTAAACAGAGATTTGTTGTTATTGGTGTGACACATGAGACCCCCGAGATTAATTTGTCCCATGAACATTATATTTTTAGATTTCAGAATTCCATTTTTTTTAAATACTGTAATCAGAAAATGCAGTCGGACAGAAATGATTTGTTAGTCTCAATTCTAACTCTTAAAGAGAAAGTTATTCGCTGATTTTGAGAATGAATAATTGTTGGAATCAAGTGGTGAAATGAGATTATTGAGATAGAAAGGTGAGTGAGCGGACAATTTATTTATAATCTAGCAGAACTGAATTCACAACTCAGTACTGATAACTCCAATCTTCGTTTGAGATAGTTACAGGATAATGAATATCTCAGAGCAATACCTTGAGCCTCTTTCGTTTTGTCTTTGGTTTCCTGTTTTAGATTTCGTATTTTGCTGTACTGTTGTTGAGATGTCTAATTTGGTTGGAATGGTACTGTATATATTACAAATTGTGAGTTTTCTTATTCTTATCGAAGTTTAATGAGCACAACACATCCAAGTCTTCTCATGGCCTATGAATATAAAATTTCGGGTGCAGGTCAGAAATATGTAATCCCATAGCATCTTCTACACCTTTTAGTTACGTAAAGAATGAGCACATCTGTGGAAGACCTTTGGGACTCAGATTTCACAAGAAAACAGGTGACATGTATATCGCGGATGCATATTTTGGGCTCATGAAGGTGGGGCCTGAGGGTGGTTTGGCAACGTCTCTTACAACTGAGGCTGAAGGAGTGCCTCTCAAGTTTACTAACGATGTAGATGTTGATGCAGAAGGAAATGTATATTTCACGGATAGCAGCACTAAATATCCAAGGAGGTAGGCTCGCGTTGTTCAATTATTTAAGACGCTAATTGCTGAGACTGCACATTTTGTGATTGTCATGATTCTGGAAATAAGAGAAATTTTCAAATAGAACATGCTGAAAGATGCCTGCAGCACTGATTATAGTTTAATACTGCTGCAATTCTACTTGCCCTCTGCTTATCTATGATGTGTGTGTGGGGACAATTTTTTTATTACGACCATTCTCTAACCAGCATGAACAATATGGGTTGGTTGTGGACTGCCATACCCATGCAGCAGATAAATAAATCTAATGATGAGAATCAAATTAAGTGGTGGCTTCTGTTTTCAAAACAGAAGGCTACAAAGAGATGATACATTGTGGCTCAAGGGCTTTTGAGACCACTAGGAATGATATGGATTTCTGATGTCATTTTCGGCGTAAAACATCTGATGTCATTTGTTGGTATACAGAGCACAAAAAGAATTTCATATTTAGCAGTTTGTTGACAGTTGTGGAAAATATTTAGAATTCTAAAGCTTAGAATTCTGTTGGACTGCTTCTTATTAATTTCTTCCCAGTCTTGGATTCTTGGTTATGACATGGACTTTTTGCAGGAATTTCCATCAGCTGGTATTCTCTGGCGAGGATAGTGGCAGGGTTTTGAAATACAACCCCGCCACAGGCGAAACCAGTGTTCTTGTCAGGAACGTCCAATTTCCAAATGGCATTTCCTTAAGCAAGGATGGTTCCTTTTTTGTCTTCTGTGAAGCGTCTATTGGCAGGTGAAACTATCATTTAGCACTTTCTGTTTTCTCTATATGCATGGTACTCTAGTTTCTTCTCTAAATTTACATATACATGATCCACTGCTATATGTAGGTATGGAATTGGAATCTGGATGATTTTATGTTATCATTGCTTCAATTATATTTTTCATCATTTAACCTAACTCTTATCTGTCATCCTACTATCGAATTTGGATAGGATGCTAACTTTGGTTTATTATTAGTTAATACTACCTTCTGTCTTTAATATACAAGTTAGTTCACTAATTTAAGTAGATTAAAAAAATTAGTTAAGTTAGTTATTTGTAATAAATAGATGTTGTATTTCCTAAAATATCCTTGCTAATCAATTGTATGGGCCAAAACTATCATTATTACAAAAACTATCTTGAGGAAAAATGGATAAATATAAGAAATAAAGTGGATTGGAATATTATATTTAGGACCAACATAAAAGTTAAAAGAGCTTTTATATCAAGGACCGAAGGTAGTAGTCAGTAGTTATTGGTGAGAAAATCGCTTCTTGGACTGCTGCTCCTTAATTACTATGAATAGGTCCCTGGATCGCTCATTTTCATTCCTTGAAAAATGGTGTGATTATCAATTCGAAATTCTGAGGATTTTTTCCCTCACCCTAGTAACCCTTCGAAAGCATGCTTTCATTCTGATTTCATCCTTTCAAGACTCTAAAATTAGACAATTCGATTTTTCGAGGATCAAATGTTTTGAGGCTGAATCAATATTATAAAATGATTCCTGTTGGGAAACCCGACACAGAGCTCATATAAAGGTGCAATACGTAGAGCAAATACTTTTGGCTATGCGGGGGGTTTTGATCTTATTTATTTTTTTAATAGCACTGGATTCAAAGAGTCTGGAACTAAACTCGAATTCATGTTCATGTTAGTGACCCAAAGTTTCGTATTCTCAATTTCTCATTCTCTAGGTTAAGTAAGTTCTGGCTAAAAGGCGATAAAGCTGGGACCTCGGAGGTGTTAGCCATTCTTCCTGGATTCCCCGACAATGTGAGAGTCAATGAGGATGGAGACTTTTGGGTGGCTCTTCATTGTCGAAGGTATATGTACAGTTACATAAATGCCCACTACCCACAGATCAGAAAATTCATGCTGAAGCTTCCTATTCCAACAAGGATTCAATACTTACTTCAGATAGGATGGAGGCTCCATGCAGTAGTTGTTAAGTATAGCCCCGAGGGTAAGCTTCTGCAGATATTGGAGGATAGTCAAGGAAAAGTTGTGAGAGCTGTGAGTGAAGTGGAAGAGAAGGATGGTAAACTCTGGTTTGGAAGTGTTCTCATGCCCTTTGTTGCAGTTTATGATCTGAAATAAAGCGAGGAAACTGGAGGCTGAATTTTTCTTTCACATTATCAATTAACACTTACACGCGTCTTTGTAGTGTAAGCAACTAGCCCCATGTAATAATCAAGAAGATACATTGAGACTTGGTTTTGTCCACTCTCATTGGGAGGCTTCCCCTTTTGCGTCATTGTTTACAGTATGATTTTTACCAACGTGAATTTGTAAATAAGGTTATAAAAAAGTCTCTAACAATCGTAACTGGTGGATTGTGATCCGGAAAAAGTTTTGACTATTGTTGTATATAGCTATTTTTTGGGAGTCTAACAACGTGGCAATAAAAGTAATTCTTTTTTAGCTGAAGGCAATAAAATTAATTCAATTCGGGCGTTTTGAGATTCAAAATCCTTGGTTTTGAAATGTTTCAAGAAAGTTTTAATTATATGTCTGAGTATCGAAATATCTGATACATCATTGATATCTAGCAAAAAGTAACAAAAATGCCATCTCAGTCTTTGAAAGAAAATCAAAACAAATCTGAAAAGATCACAGTGAGATAGAGAGAGACCCTGGTACCCGCCTTAATCCATTGATTACCAATACCAAGTGCTTCAAACTTGTAGTTATAAGCTGTGCTGCTAATTGAACACATTTTTTTGGCCTAATCTAACGCATATTTTTTTTTTAACTAAGGTTTATTACATGCTGAATACTAATGATACTATATATCATGGATTTTATATACTAATAATAAATAAGATACCAATATATATATATTTTGCCTTGTAGCCCACATTTCCACAAGAATGTTGCTTTTTTGCCATGTCTGATGATGAGAAGTTCAGAGCTGCACCGTGTCCTACTAATTATTTCAAAAGATATTTTGGAATTAAAAATAAAAAATTACCCATCCTAACATTAATATTTTTACAAAAAATTAGTATAATAAAATTAACTAAATATATTGTATTTTAAAGCAAAGGATACTTTTGTTCGAAGAGTTCATATTTATCTTCTCCAGCGCCACATGATAAATTACAAAACATAAAATTTTGTCATCTCTTATTCTTATCACGTCCTATAAACTTAGTAACCTTTCATTTCTACTTTGTTTACTTTCTGAGCTCCGCTGCACCATTATTCTGTTTAGGAGAACCCCACGGTGCGTTTGAGTGCATTGTGTCATTATTCTTGACCACCCCGTCCATGCCCATCGTCTCAGCTCTCTAGTGTTTCACTGCAGTGACGAAACCGTGCGATAGCCTTCCTAGTGAAACTGTTCCTTCCCGCCTTTGCGTACAAATGGTGAGTTAGGGTCTTGTTGTTTATCTCTCTGCCTCGTGCCTTCGTTGCGTTCTTGAAGCAGTTGACAAGTAAACTGTACTTGACCTGATGTTTGTTTAGGCTTTTTGATTTTTATTGGCGCTCTTGAAATTCTTTAACACATTGTTTTGCGGTTTCTGTTGATATTACAGTCGGAATACGGAAATGGTTTATGAAATCTCATAACAAGAGCAATGCTTCGGAGTCGAAGCCTACGAATCAAGTGAAGCCTTCTCCAGCTAAACCACAAACCAGAAAACCAGTGAGCTTCGTTGCCCTTTTGCCCTTGTGTTTATTCCACGTTGGTCAAGCTTTCTGAAATGCGTTTCTAGTGTTTCACTGCAGTGACGAAACCGTGCGATAGCCTTCCTAGTTGAAACTGTTCCTTCCCGCCTTTGCGTACAAATGGTGAGTTAGGGTTCTTGTTGTTTATCTCTCTGCCTCGTGCTTTCGTTGCGTTCTTGAAGCAGTTGACAAGTAAACTGTACTTTGACCTGATGTTTTGTTTAGGCTTTTTGATTTTTATTGGCGCTCTTGAAATTCTTTAACACATTGTTTTGCGGTTTCTGTTGATATTACAGTCGGATATACGGAAATGGTTTATGAAATCTCATAACAAGAGCAATGCTTCGGAGTCGAAGCCTACGAATCAAGTGAAGCCTTCTCCAGCTAAACCACAACCAGAAAAACCAGTGAGCTTCGTTGCCCTTTTGCCCTTGTGTTTATTCCACGTTGGTCAAGCTTTTTCTGAAATGCGTTTATTAAGTCACCATTTAGGTATAATTTCTAGGTTCACCATTTAGGTATAATTTCTAACTCTTTTAACAGGGGATTAGGGGAAACTGTACAGGAAGAGGTTCAAGTGTGAAGAGTATGGAATGTGCTTTCTTGTACTGTTGCATGTATGCATGATGGACCTTCCATTGAGCAGGCTTCTTTTTTCTGAAGTCTATAGCTGAGGATTTACTTCCATGTCTAAGTTGCATGTCAATGGGAACGCGAAAGACCGTATTTTCTTTTGTTTCTGTTTTCATTGTGACCCTGTAACTTTCAAGACCTGGCTTAATCAAAAGTGGGGGTTATTGATAGATTTTGGTTTCTGATCAGCCTGAAACCTCTGCAAATCAAGGCACCAAATGTCCCGTAGGGTTGTTATGGGGTGGAAATAATGGATGACTAGATATGGTTTCATATTTCTTTTTGATTGGCCTTGCACACTTTGTTTACCGTCAACTTCATGACGAACATGGAAGTAATGAAAGATCTCTTTCTGCAGGTGGTTGGAGGCCAAGATAGTACAGGGAAGAGGAAAACTAGCAAAAATGCTGCCACTGAAAAAAACAAAAATGATGAAAAAGAGGCACAGGAGCTTCCTGCTAAAAGGAAGAATCCTAAGGACAGTGAAGACTTGCAGAAGCCTCTTCCTAAAAAAAGTCATTTAGATGATGACAACGACGACACTGCCTTGCTTACATCTAAAAGGAAATCAGTTGATACCACCCCAATAAAAAAATTGAAGAGGGAATCTTGTAGGGAAATTCCCCTTAAGTCTCCTGATTTGGAACAAAGTGATGAGGATGATGTCAAAGATGATGTATTGCCTGTTAAATCTGGCGGAAGGGGACGTGGAGGAAGAGGAGCGTCTGCACAATCTAGTGGACGAGGTAGAGGGGGTGGAAGGGGTGGATTTATGAATTTTGGCGAAAGAAAAGATCCTCCTCACAAAGGAGAAAAGGTGCATAATTATTATATACGCAAGGATCTATCAAATAATAATATCATGTCTTATTAAAGACATTAAAACTTCGATACTATTTTTATTTATTTATTTATTTCAGGAAGTACCTGAAGGTGCTCCTGATTGTTTGGCTGGTTTGACTTTTGTCATCAGTGGAACATTGGACAGGTATTTGCATAGGCAGAACTTGCCTCCCAGTTTCTTTCTTCTCCTTCAAATTTTTTTCAGCTGTTGATTAGGTTCTCATTCTTCTTAGAGTTAGAGATGATGGTACATAACTCTGGGTTAGCCTTATTTCTCTATCTTGAGTTTTGTGGCATTAACTGCTACATATTTATAGTTTGGAACGAGAAGAAGCAGAAGATTTGATTAAACGACATGGTGGTCGTGTCACTGGATCAGTCAGCAAAAAAACGGTGCTATGATTAAACATCTTGCTTCATATGTGGTTGAATTCACATTATCGGCATGTGATTAACATATTCTGTGTGCAGAATTATCTTCTATGTGATGAAGATATTGGAGGTCGGAAATCTTCAAAAGCCAAAGAGTTGGGGTTAGTATTGCATATTTTAAGGAATCTCCTCAAACAATACCTCGTTCTATTTTCTATTTTGACGTATATTTTGTTTTTGTTTTATAGTACGAAATTTCTCACAGAGGATGGGTTGCTTGACATGATTCGTGCGTCAAAACCTGTAAAAGCTCATCCACAGGAAGAATCAAAAAAATTGATGAATAAGGTTGTTGCAACCCAGTCTAAAAGTCCTCAGAAAGCAGGAGTCAAGGGTAGGATCTATGAGCATATTCCTTTATCCTTTTGGTTATCACCATTGGCATATGTTCTTTTTTCTTTCTTTCTTTCTTTGTATCTTTGAATTGGCAGCAAATCTTAAGAGTCCAGAAGTTGTTAGAATATATGGGTACAGCTCCGTATGCTTTAATTATCATGTTTCTATCAACATGTGCAGTCTCCCAACCTTCAGGCTCAGCTTCTGCTCAAGTGAAGCCTAAGACAGAGAGTTCTGTGCAGTCTTCTTTCATGTGGACAGAGAAGTATCGACCTAAGGTTCCAAATGACATCATTGGAAATCAATCACTTGTATGTGTCAACCCTTATCATCATACTTTGTGGTTAAGTTTAATTTCATTCATACCTGGATTTGAAGAGGCGTTATAAAATTTCCTGATGTTATGGAATACAGGTTAAGCAGCTTCATGATTGGTTGGCACATTGGAATGAACAATTTCTTGACAGTGGAAAGAAAAAGGGAAAAAAGCAAAATGACACTGGTTCAAAAAAAGCTGTCTTATTAAGTGGAACCCCTGGCATAGGAAAAACCACTTCAGCAAAGTTGGTTTGTAAGATGCTTGGTTTCCAAGCTATAGAGGTGGGAGCAAGTCCCTCTACAATCCATTTGTGGCAATACCTTTTTATCATCTAATTCATCTCTTATGAGTTTCAGGTTAATGCTAGTGACAGCCGTGGGAAGGCTGATAGCAAAATTGTTAAAGGAATCAGTGGAAGCAATGCAAACTCTATAAAGGAACTTGTCACCAATGAAGCATTGGGTGCTAAGACGGATGGGTTGGTCTTGTTTGTGACAATTTTTATGCATGAATGACTGTGTAAATATACATGTTCCCATAAATTCCATGATATTTCAGGGCGAAGCATTCCAAAACTGTGCTTATCATGGATGAGGTTGATGGCATGTCAGCAGGTGATCGGGGTGGCATTGCTGATCTTATTGCTAGCATCAAGATATCAAAAATTCCTATTATCTGCATTTGTAATGACCGCTACAGCCAGAAACTGAAAAGTCTTGTGAACTATTGTCTGCTGCTTAGCTTTCGAAAACCTACAAAGCAGCAGGTATTTTTGCACCTGCTTTTTTCCCCTAATATTCTTGTTTATTGTTTATAAAATCTTTGTTCGCATTAGGTCCTGGTAATGATCTTCTTGCCAGTTTTGTTATGCTCATGAAATCTTTAGGAAATGAGGATTACTTTTTGACAAATTATCAAGCTTATTTGTGAAAAGAGCATTAGAGTTGGCTTTTCTTGTTGATAATAGAAGTACAGCACAGTTTTGAGAATTGAATTCTTCTCCTGCAATTGCTTGATCCTTCCATGGTAAAAATCGTTTGTGTCTTTTATTGAATGTTGATACTCTATTTTCCTGAGGTTCATATGGTACATGGAATGGAGATGAGTGGATTTAAAGATAGAAA